TCTTTCCCTTCTATTCTGCTGTCTCCAGGTATTGCAATGTCCACTATCCAGACTTTTTTGTTGTTATTATGTCAGAGCTGCAGAAGGAATCCAAAGAAACATTTCCCAGCCACAATGTGTCAGATACTTAGAGCAACGTTCAAAGGACCACCTTTCCTAGCGAGTGGGCTGTTCCAGGACAGCAAACTGCATCCACTTCTTTGGGAATGCGCCACTGGATGAAATAAATCCACTTTTAAAAAAAAATGAAATATGCCCCATTCTCCTTGCTCACACTTCATGCCGAAAAACGAGCGGCAGAGCAACTTTTCTGCCGTTCGCAACTACGCCCGTATTTCAGTCCTTGCCTTTTGCCAGCCTCTTCCCTCTGAAACGCATGAAGTACCTTTACCTGAATATATTGGTCGGCATAATCGCGCCCCAGCTGCAAATGCTCGAGCCCGACTTTCTCCAGGTGGCTGGGCAGGGAGTTCTTTAGCACCCTCAGGGACCCTCTCAGTAGTTCCAAAGGCATGGCGCCGGATCCAGACCCGCAGTTAACGGGACGGATCCATAAGAGGCACCTTCCCTCGCCGGACCAACGCTCGAACTCGCCAAGGAAACCCCAGCCACTGGCGTTCTCCTACCCAACCGCTCTAGCCCTTCTCACTCTATCATTAGCAACCCGGAAATTACCGTGCAGGAGAGGCGCGCATGCGCTCTTGGCGAACTGAAGGTCTGCGAGCGATCTCTCCAATAGGGACTGTCCAATTCGCTCTTTGGCGAGCTAATGAAGAATGTTAGCAGCGCAGCCTCCCTTAGCCTCGCTGGAAGGTAAATGCAGGCGCTGCGATAGATAAGAACTTAGTAGGGATTGATAGCCCCTGTGCCCTGTTACAAAGCCTCCCAGCCCAATAATTATTATATCTCACCCCTATTTTCTCTTCTTTAAACTTGCACAGCATCTCCTACTGTTTCTCCTTCCAACTTCTTCTTATCTTGGTTGCTTTTCTCTGGATACGTTTGAGCTTACCCGTATCTTTCCTAAATGGGTATAAAATTCCAAGTGTGGTTTGACCAATGCAAAACAGAGAGGAACAGTGGTTTGTATTCTCCACCAGAGGAAACGTCTGGAGGTAACTACATAGACCATAGCCTAGCTATCATTAGCCAGTAACAGACACATCTCCTCTACGGTCCATATAAGCGAGTTAAACATTATTCATGACCATTACCCCTTGCTTTCCCATTGGCATTTCTATATCAAGAGAGATTCTAGAACTGCATTTTTAGCTTTTCAGGAAGATTGCAAAGTCCATCTGCCAATTAGATTATCCCCAAAACTCCTGAGGATTCTGAGAAGGAATGTACAATGGATGAGCCAGGTGAGCGAAGATTGGAAACGAGATCTCAGACACGTAACTCCTATTTCAACACAGAAACTGTTTTGGGGATAAGGAGCTAGCTACCCCAGAGATCCAAGCAGGATCCCTTCCAGCTCCTTGATAATTTACTTTAGAAAAGCTGGCTCCCAAGTGTCCAATTAGCAGGGGCTTTAAGGGGTAATTTCTCTCTCCCGCCTGGAAGATCTGATTTAAAAAATAAAAAATAAACTTTTTACATTCCGTCCATTAACTTAAACATTTGTCTCTTATTCCTTTTATATGCTTAGGCTGCCTCTTTCTAGGGCAGTGTTTCTCAACCTTGGTAACTTTAAGATGTGTGGACTTCAGCTCCTAGAATTCCCTGGCCAGCTTTGCTGGCTGGGGAATTCTAGGAGTTGAAGTCCACACATCTTAGAGTTACTAAGGTTGAGAAACACCGTTCTATGGTAACCTCTTCCTCCCTTTCCCACTTTTTCCTAGCTATATCGCAAGGCTAAACTTCCTTTCTCCACACATCTTAAAGTTACCAAGGTTGAGAAACACTGTTCTATGGTAACCTCTTTCTCCCTTTCCCACAGCTATATCACAAGGCTAAACTTGTGCTATCCCACAGCTATATCACAATTCCCATAGCTATATCACAAGGCTAAACTTTCCTTTCTCCTTCATGATGGGCATGTGTTGCTTTACACTTTTGGATCTTCATTTTGAGTTTCTTGAGTTTCATTCTTGAGTTTCATTTCTTGTGTCTCTACTCTTTGGGATAGGCCCCCTCCCTTCCAGGGGTCCCCAATTCTGATTTCCTTATTGACTTCTAGTTGTCTATCTGCAGCCACTTTATTACTTCCCTTAATCTGTACCTCTATAACACCGGCATGGATTCTGTTTCTTCTGATTCCAATTTCTTCTATTTACAGAACAGGGCAATCATAGCATCTGAGTTAACTTCTTTATTTCTGGCAACCTACTGCCAGTCTGAAGCAGCTTTAACATGGTTACTATTTCTTAACTCTCTTGCAGTCAACCGGATTCCATATAGCTAGAGTTGCAATCTTTTATGAATTGACCCAGAAGTTAATCCTATGAAATATGATATAAGTTTCCTCTGAACAGAAATGCCCAAGCTTCTGTTGTACATTTGAAGAGCTGGCTATACATTCAACAATTTATATAAAGTTCAAGATAGCTTTCTTTCAAATGAGAAAATTTTCAAATAATTTTGCAAGTAGGAGGTTACTTCTCATCAAATCACAACAAATGAACAATGGGCCAAAATGTATGTTGTTAATCAAAACAGGGGCAATGAGGCTAGCAAATTTCTGCAATATAATTCTGTTTCATCTGTGACTACTGCGAAGAACAGTAGATGGCGATGTTTGTAAAGAAAGAGAAACATCGTGAGAAATCAAAGGCAGGATGAGGGAAACATCCCATTAAAGATAACAGAAATAATTAGTATTTTGAGAATTAGGTTTTAATGTTACCACCCTTTATTATAATTTATTCAGTATTAAGACTCTAAGTGAATTTATTATTTGAATTTATGTCTTGTTTTCAGAGTAGCATTTGACTTCGGGCCACCATTTTTATCTTAATATTTTATTAATTGCAGCAAAATCGTTGCTGCAATGTGTTGATGATAATAAGAATTAAGGGAAGCCAGCAGGCAACAAAGGTTTCTTTCAATTTCTGCTACAGTCAGTTATGAGCCATGTGTTTAGCCAAAGCATATTCATGGTTACATTACACTTATTCAAACAACTGGGAAAAGTAAGTCTGGATCCAATCCAAGATGCTCATTAAAATGGTAAAAAGTTGGGATCACTTATTCTTCCCAGTGTGTCTGTATTTATTTGAAGCCTGCTATAAACAATGGGATAGGCAGGCTTTAAACAAACAGAGTCTAATTTCAGAGGAAAAAGTAAAAGCCTCAGTTTTTGCTTTCACTTCAGCTACATGTATTGGGGGGGGGGGGGAGAAGAAATTTGGTGTAGTGGTTAAGGTACCAGGCTAGAAACTGGGAGACTGTGAACTCTAGTGAGCTCTCGTCCTGCACAAAGCCAGCTGTGTGACCTTGGGGCAGTCACTCTTTCTCATCCTAGGAAGAAGGCAATGGCAAACTACTTCCAAAAAACTTCTCCAAGAAAACGGCAGGGACTATTGAGTCAAGACTGACTCAAAGGCAACAAGATCAACAAAAGAGTGAAATAATAATAATAATAATAATAATAATAATAATAATAATAATAATATCAAAAAAGTCTGGATAGTGGACATTGCAAAACCTGGAGCAGCAGAATAGAAGAGAAAGAACAGGAGAAAATAAAATATAAAGACCTGCAAATAGAAGTAGAATGACTATGGCAAAAGAAGCAAAGATAGCACCAATAGTAATAGGTGCCTTGGATGCAATCTCAAAACAACTGGAACACCGCTTGAAGACCATTGGTCTTGACAAAATCACCGTCAGTCAATTGCAAAAGGCAGCTTTACTTGGAACATCTTATATCCTGCAATGATACCTTTAACACCATCAGACAACAACATCTGCTTATCCCAGG